ATTTCGGCCTTGACCAATATTCTTTTGTTTATCAACACTGGTAGATAATGATCTTGCCACCAGGTGATCTTTGGCTGCTCCTGACGCTACCGTCATAAAAACAAGAGACCGCACATGCGCAGTTGCGCACTCTCAGCTGATTGTAAACAGATAAGATGGCGACAAGACGCAACTTCAGTGTTCATTTAAAGCTAGACGTTTTGAAATATTCCAAACAAATGTCGGGGGAATACGCCGCAGAGCATATGACGCCTGGTATGCAGAGGACGGCAACAAGACCTTCACAAAAGGAGGAAACGTGAGAGCAGCTGACAAACGCAAGATAACGGCTTACCGTCTCCAGGTCCAGTAATTTCCTCTTTCGTTGGTGTCATGACTGCCCAGTACCTGAACAACTGAGCCGTGGCGGAACACAGGTATGTGGCGTGTCAGAGGAGAAACGAGTCGTTAACATTTCTCTTTGTGTTAGGTAACGTTAACGGCGTTAGGCTGACCAAACGTCCTCTTTTGCCCGGACATGTCCACTTTTCACGTCCCGTCCGGGGCGTCTGGGTTTTTTTTTTTATAAACTGATAATGTGTGTGTTAGAGTGCGGATATTTCTGTTCGAACCCGAACCGAGCCCGATATTATTTATAACCAAAGCACTGAGTTTGTGCCACACAGTTGTTACGGCTGAATTATTAATAAATGGTTGTGTGTTGACGTTCACCGCGCTATCCCGACGTGCTTTAGGTAACTTATAATTTGTGGTTTATTAGCGTTATAAGCGTTCAGCCTCTAATGTGTGTATAGCGCATCTCACTCGATTAGCACTCGGCTAACTCCCGGGAGCATTCTCGGTGGTCGATGTTAGCCAAGACATGCCGGTGGTTGAACACTCGCTGAGCTAATGTGGACTAATGTTTGACTCTGTGGTCTGTTGTAGAGCATTGTGTTGTGTTTTGTGCACGTGCATGTGTACGGGGGTTGCCGTGTGTTTGTATATCCGTTATTGTTCAGTAAACGTGCATTTTATCTCGGGATGTCTTGAAATTTTCTTCACTCCTTCTTCGTTCTGCAATGAATGAGTGCACCGGCTTTCTACTGCGCCACAGCGCCACTTTAGCGGTTGGGAGGTGTATTGCACATTGGTAGTAAGTGTGAAATCTGTGACTATGCGGTTAGTACATTACATGTTTGATTTGAACGTTTATGGAGACGTGAATCGGTCGAGACCGGGAACCCCCAAATGAAAAACGGGGTTCGTTTTCAAGACGTTCATGCAGTGAACGTATTAGTCCAAGGCTAGTGCAGTATGTAAACACAGGCCGTGTCTTCACATGTCCGCGCTGCCGTCTCGAGACTGCTTCGCGCATGCTCCCAGAGCGCTGGGCTTTCTGGGAGATGTAGTCAATGTGGTTGCTTTGGGTCTTCTGTGTTGTGTTTGACATTGTTAAATATGTAAATAATGTGTAGGTAGATTCATGTTATATGTATGGCAACAGTCTTGTTTAGAATTGTTAGAATGTTGTTTAGAATGATAGCTGATGGAGAAAATATTAACCAGCTTAAAGACTTATGTTCTATTTATTGTGTGGCAAGTGGAAACAGCTGGCATATGACGCCTACTTAGGGTGTGTAACCATCTTTATCTATGGAAGCCCATTTTC